ATTAGCTGAGGAACACAAAACATTGGAAATAGTCTGTGTGGTAAAATGAGCTGTACAGACCATCTAGGTTTACATCATTTCAGAAGTGAACATAAACTTTTCAGTTCTGACCAGGTGGTCTGTTGCTTGCCTTATTACCTCCCTCTCTCATGCACCACTCAAAATAAAGCCCCACAAGCTGTGTCTGAGAAAAATTCTTTCACAAGCAGACTCCTCTTGCTGGAGTGATTCACAAAAGCTGCTCCAATTTTCTCAAGGTGCTGCCAAAGTGACCAGGGGATGACATGGCCCTTCTGGGAGGCTTCGGTGGAATCTTAACCATGTAGTCTCACATGAGCAGGTGTTTCCCAGCACTGGCAGCAGGTTATCCTTTCCAAACAAATCCCTTTTTCAAAGCTATGGGTGCCATTATATTTTGTTACACAGTTCTTAATCTACTTTGAAACATTTTCTTACAAAACCTGGAAGATGATATGTACAAAAAAAAGCCCTTAGCTGATGTTGTTTTAAACAGTGAGGAATCACAGTTTGTGCTATATCTAGAAAAGAGAATGTACCAAAGAAAGCAGGGCTGGTCTCATATGTGCCTTCCTTTTATTTTAGAAGTAATGGCTGTGTAGAGTCCTTAATTTTGATGGAAATATCCAGCTGGATTTCACACAGTGGTATTTCATTAGTGGATAATTGTTGGGTCAATGTGCCTGTTATTTGTTTTGTTTTGCTCATTGGTTGTGCTTTTTATACTCTGCTTTTTCAGTAACTTGCACTTTGCACAACAAAATGCTCGACAGCTTACCCCAACAGAACATCATTGGTCAGAAATTGCATTAAATGGGAGCAGAGGACCACAGGAGCCTGTGGCTAGAATGGCAGAGAAGGTGAGGGAGCTCATTCTCCTCTGTTTATCCCCCAAACATATGATCTCTTTCTCTGAAACATGACCTGTAAGTTAGGCCTTCTAATTAGAAAAAGTAACTAGAAAGTTGTAGCAGGAAGGCACCTAGGCCTGAGCTGTTCTTGGTTTTCTCCCATACTCTGACCTGTCAGTGTAATAGAGAACAAAAATTCACTCAGAGCATTAAACATCTTTCAGATGGAGAAACTGCTGGTGAGAGGGAAGTGTGTATGCCTCACCATGCTGCCTCCAGACCCTGGCTGGAACTGGGGCTGGATTGTGTCATACACAGGATGTAGGTGTACACATGCAGCTGTGAGGAAGAAGGAGTACAAGGAAGAAGCAGAGGAAGAGACCCTCTTCCCTCTTGTCCCCCACATGCAGAAGAGGCAATGCTGCAAGCAGGAGAGAGGCACTAGAGCTAGGAGTTGGAAGGGGTGACAGAGGAAGCAGGGGGTCACTGAAAAAGCCTAGTGGGTGTCCCAGGGCCAATTCAGTGCCCTGTCCCCTGCAAAGCTGCCCCCCCAGCCCATGCCACCCACTCATCCAAGCCCCCATGAGGTGCTGTGGTCAAAGGGGCCTGCTGGCTGTGGAGTCATTAGTGCAGGTTTCAAAGAGGGTCAAAACAAAAATACAGTGATGAACTGGGAGTTTCTGTACCAAGTGCCAAGTGAACCTGTAAGGTTAGTTTAGTCTTTAATGAAATTCCTGCTTCAAAGTCTTCCTCTCTTTTTCACCAGGGACCTGTGCTTTCTTTAAGCAATGTTTAGAGGACGCCAGTCTGCAAGGGTAATCATTGATACCTCTGGCAGGAACGGCTCATGCACTAGCATTTCTAAAAAGTCCCTTTATGAATAATTTAATTTGTCTCTGAAGTTCAAGATTTCTTTTTCTGTGGGACTGACTGTAGCTGTGCTTGCTCCTTAGGTACAGCTTACTGTAATTGAGGCAGAAGAAATGTATTGCAGTGGAGGGTTTTGTGAGCATGACGCATAATAAGGTGATTGCCATGGCAAAAGTCATTTGCAGTGTTTAAAATACTTCCTCCAGTGGTGAGAAGATCTGCAGAAAATTATTAAAGGATCTCCCACTGCCATCCTCTACTCCCACCTGAATGGAAAAAAAAAATAATGCTGCATGAGATGTTTCGGGGCAGTGGGCACAGCCCCTCTCTGCAGAACACTGCCAAGGACCCATCCTTGATGATATTCAGAGCCCATATGTTACTGACACCACCTGGGACACAGGGAACTATCAACCAGGTCAAATGCTTGTCCAGACTAAAAGAAAACACTGTGATTCACACATCCACTGACAAGGGATGTCACTTGCTTGGGCACAGCTTCTTTTCCTCTGAAACCTCCCAGCCTTGTAGTGATTTCTGGGTGTCTCTGGAATGGCAGGAAAAACCTACACATCCCAGATCTCAGACAATCATCCCTGTAGCTTCTCCACCAAGGAAAAGCCAAATACGGTACATCCTCCTTCCAGCTGCCAACAAGGTCCACTATCCCTGGATATGTTTCAGTAACTCCTCGCATCCTCACCATCCATAACCTGGCGTGTAACATCCAACTGTGGCCTTTGCAAAGCTGCCTGTAAGTAACTTTCCAGGAAAGGGGTAGAGGGCGAAGAAACTCCCATAATAATTTGCTATGAGACAGACCTCAAGTCTGGCTCCAGGGAAGAGATGTCTCCCTGCCAGCACATAAGTGGAGTGTCTCAGGATGGGTTTTGCCATCATTTGCAGAGGCAGGGCTATGCTGTTCACGCACATGAATGTCAGCAGCAAGACGACTATTTCAGAACCTGGGCTTAAGGTAGGAATGGGGGCAAAACACAGCTCTGAATGGAACAAAATTCCATCATGCTGGGAGGTTTCTTTCTTGTCTGTCTTTAATCACCAAGCACAGCAACAGAGCTGAGTGGCTGCATTCAGCCAACACAATGAAACACGGCAGCAGTATATTTTTAGGATATTATTTCGGGGGGGGGAACAAATTCTAAGGGCAAAATACTGTGATCTAGAAACTCAAACAAGCTGCTCAGGGATTTCTTTGTGTCTTGAATATGCCACACAGCACTTGAGCTGTCTTTTCAATTTGGGATGTGTGTTTCAGATCAATAAAAAATCTCATTCAAGACAAAATACATTCTCTCATGGTACAAAGCTTACATGACCTGATCAGCAGGAAAAGCTAAGGTAATTGCAATCATAAATGAAAATCCAAATTTTAGACTGAAGTCAGATTTTCTTGCACTGTAGTATCTGCAGGTAATCTCTGTGTTCTTTGCGGTCTTTACTCTGAAGTGGAAACCAGAACATATCCCTTTAGTATTTTTACTCCCTTCTGTGGTTGTCAATTACCATGGCTTGAATATTCTGTTCATCCTCAGCTTCAGGACTTCTTGATTATCTGGGACAGATCTTTCTCTGTCAGATTTCTGAATGACAAGCAGAGATTTCATCCCCGGGAAAATTCCTTTAGCAGTAACCTGGGCATCCAGTGCATTTCCTACAAGTGCTCTTAGTACATTTCATCAGGTAGAAGATCAATGCAAACAAAAAGACTGTGCAGCAGCATTTATTCTCCAAAAGATGTGGAGCCCTGACATAGCCCAGTCAGAACTATCAGCTCCAGCTGGAGCCTATTTAAATGTGAATCAAAAGTTTGCATATGCACAAATTAGGGATGTGGTATAGATGTTGTTAACACCTGGCAGGTCATCAAATAGGAAAATAATCAGAGTCCTTCTTTTTCACCTTTTCCTATGTACCTTGCATTCTGGAGGTTAGCAAAAGTTGGCAGTCAGGAAAAGACATGTCAGGACTCAGCTCAATCAAGGACTCCCTCCTGAGGGAGGGCACAGCTGGTAGAGAGAGGTGCCTGTTTAAGGGACTGTGACACTTGCTTTCTCTTCCCCAAGGAATGGGCTGTAATAGGCTCTGTCACATAGTGCAAATGGGAGGTTGTCCTTGGGCCCCAGAGGATGGAGCTATCAGGGGCAACAAGCATCCTGCCCGTCTATACTGCCAAACATCCACACTATGAAGAGCCAGCACATAACACATATCCATGCTGTGTACGTGAGGTGTCCTGCACTGCTCTTTGGCTCGGGGGAAAGAACTGTGATAAGCAAGAACTCAAACCTGTTTCTTTCTGTAAAGCTGCCAACATCAGCAAATTTGCATGACTTGCCTGCAATGAGATGCTTTTTTGGCAGGTCTGTGCCTAACTCATGGAAATGCAGTGTGCTTCCAGGATAGCTCAGAAGGATGTACAGGTGACTTGCAATAAAGACAGGTGACAGGACTGCCAGGAATCATGCCCCACCACCCGAGGGTGCTTCCATTAACAAAACTGACAGCTGAAGGATGTTAACCACACCAAGGGACATTGTCACGTGATATTGCAATTCATCAAACTGCAGAAAATAATTGGTGTTCTTCTTAGGAAGAAAAAGGAGGGGGAAAAGTGAATGTAGAAACCCTTATTATTATATATCTGTATTTGTTTCTAGAGATTGTTTATGATGTTTTGCTGTGTTTTTAAAAGATACTGAGTGTAGAGAGTATAGAAATAGTATATGTGAGTCTAGCACATGAAGTAAATGAAGGAAGAAAGAAAAATAGCTTTTTATTATGCTATCTACCTTATAGTACACAGAGCATACAGAATCATCAGTGTTGGAAGAGACTTTCAAGACCAATTCCAACAGCTAACCTGGCACCACCATAATCACCCCTAAACCATATCCCCAAAAATTATATATTCAAACTTAGGTACCTGGCATATTTTTGAGAGTGTGTAAATCAGTAAGCTGCTTACTCTGAGTTAATCTGAAAGGACAAAAGAAAAAAAATTGTTTTCAACATGGGCTAAAATGTAGGTAATGCTTTTGTCTTAAAAGTTTCATAAAATGTTCTTATTTTATCACTCTAGCAGGAAACTGAGGCTTTTGGTTTAATGAAGCATTTCTTTGAAGTCATGCTGAGTGACTGTGCTGCACATCTGCCTGTCTGCATGGGGCAGGCCATTTCAACTTCCTTTTCTGAGGGAGCACCAAGACAGCTACATATTCACCAGAACTTCATCAAGTGAAGATGAAAGCAAGGTGGCTTTTCTCTCTCTTTTGTTTGCTCTCAGTGCCCAGTATCACAAGTAAGAGTGTCAGGGGGACACCTTGACTCGGTTTATGATGGCGGGTGGTGAGGGGCAGGCTGGGATTAGTGGGTCTCACTAGGCTGAGCTGTAGCTACTGGCAATGATTTTCTATTTCCTGACAACTTTCTAATAACCCTAGTTATAATGTGCAGCTAGTAAGGAGTAAATGCCTTGTGCTGAGCAGATTACTTAATTCAATATGCCTAACCTGCTGGAATAATCACTGGGATGAGCTCACTTGAAGTAGAGGATTGTGTTCTCCTCTCAAATGGGCCAAAAGGGAAGCTGCTTTCAATGGGACAATAAAAAATACCTCTCTGTCTCTGTCTTACATACCTGTGTATGCAGAGAGAGGAAGAATTGAAACGCTTCAAGGCAAGAGTAAATTGTACAGGTGAAACCCCTTAAACAGATTCTTCACGTCCTCTTCTCCACCTAGCCCCATGTGCTAACATCTAGAGAAACAAGTTTGTCATTCAAGTAAAACACTCAGAAAAGCTGACTAAGGAGGGCTGTACTTTTGTCAGAGGGAATTTAAACCAAAAGCAATCTGAGGAAAACCAAGAAAAAGTATGATGTTCACAAACCCCCACCCTCTCAAAATTCTGACCATGATAAATGCAGGAATACTTATTACCAGCTAGGAAAAACAATTTTGCAGGATACACAATTTTCAAGTTAAGAAGGGAAAAACTGGATGTATTTGAATGGCGGTGAAGGATGCGTCTCACAATCTGGCATAGGCTGATCTTTTTTGCACTGAGGCAAACTGGTTCTCAAAATAAAAATAATTCATACATGTGTTCATAGAAAATCTAAAATGCAAAGAAAGGAATAGAAGCCTCAAAACATACACATGTGCTGCCGTGGCTGTCTTTGGAAGGAGCCCGGCTGAGGATAAGTAAGTCCAGCCACAGCCTCAGTCGTCCAGGCACTCCCCCAGCACTAAGCCAGAGGCAGGTGCCTACCGTGGGTTGGGTTGGGAAGCCAAGATAGAAATGCAGCCGCACCGCAGGGTTGAAGGAAGAGACGACTCTCCACTCTGCTCAGGTGGGGTGAACTTGGTTTATTCCAGGGTCGGAGCAGAAGGGTGGGTGACGAGGAAGGAGGGGAGCGGAGCCGCAGCTCTGCTGGGGAGGAGGAAAGCAGAAGGAGAGAGCGCAGAAGGAGAGCCCCGAACCCCTTCGGGGATCGGGTTTTGAAGGAAAGGGGTAGGTACAAGAAGCAACCAATCATAACACGAAGAAATTAATACAGTAAAAACTGACGGGTGGTGCGAACCAATAGGGGTAAGCTGAAGGGAGGGCTCAAGCCTTTCAGCCAATCACTCAACACCCAACCTGGAAAGTTCTAGAACTGGAGGCGGGGTGCCGGTGACTGACATAAGACTTGGGGAGGGGATACAGAGACAAATATGGGATAACAAGGAGGGGAAAACAGTGATTGACATAAACTGGTGGTCGAGCCAGACCAACTTATCCAACTAAGGAGGGGAGAACGGGTGAAACCAAACACGAACTACAACACACATGTAAGAAAGAAATAGCATTTACAGAAAAATAGGAATTGGAGGGGTTTTTTCCTCTCAGATGAAATCCTCACTGAAGTCATTCAAAGATGAAAGTGGAGGCCTCTATGCCCTTTGTGGAGATCAGACACCTAAATGTCTGGGAGTTACTCTAAGAAATTTCAGCTGGAGCACAGGCATGCACTACTGGACACTATTTGATTTTGAAAAATAAAGTCAACATAAAATGAGATTGCTTATATTGAGATGCTAGCAAAGAGTTAAGAGCAATTTTGCACAAAATGTTTTCAGTTAAAATAATCTACTGCACTAGGCTACTAAGATATAATGCAAATTAAAATGTTGTTTCTACATATATAATTTTTTAAACTTAATATAAATTACTCAAGTGGTTCTTCATAGGCATTCTTTATATGATCCTTAGACCTAAAGCAGCATCAGCATGAATATGAGAGACAAAATGCTGCGTGTCTTTTGCTTGAAAGTCTGATTGCAAGATTCCTACTTGCTTCTCCCTTAACTTTTACCGTTGCAAAACTTGTGGTGAAATCAGAGAGCATTCCCTATAATAAGCTCCTTGCACTGACAAAAATAGTTTTAGTAATTTTTCTCACAGCACAAGGCTGTGAGACTTGTCATTCAGGCTTATTTTTATTTAACCTCTAACGTCATCACATCATTTAGAATAAAAGATGAGCAGAACATGTGCAGCAATGAAACAGCAGAGATTAATGTTGGCCATGGCCATTGAGTAGCTCTGTTCTCCACACATCTAGTCTCCAAGTGTCCATGTCACCCTTCAGTGTACAGGTAATAAATCAGAGCCAGCTCTGTGAGGATGTATCACTCTGCCCTTGTGCTTTCTCTCCATCAAGCCAGAGCTGAGGGTGCACAGTCCCTGCCTGGCTCCTTCCTGGCTGAGCTGGAGGAGTGTGGGGCACACTGTAGCCCCATTGAGAATGCCTGAGCCCTGGCAGGGCCCCCCCTCGCTCAGGTGCCCCAGAGCCATGTACCACACAGCAGAGCAAATGTCAAAGCAAGGGAATTGGTACCCAGCTTTTTCAAGAAAAGAAGGTGAGCAGTGGGCACTTGCAGCTGGCAAGACTGCAGGGCAAATTCCCAAAGCAAATATACAGGGATGTTAACACAGGGAGGATGATAAAATGGAATGTAAATGGGGGGCAACAACTCTTTTTTTTCTTTTTTTGTGGACCTGCACCTTCTTTTGGAAAAGAACGGGTGTACAGGGGACTTTTTGTGTACGGCTCTATGGAAGTGATTGATTACTTTTCTCACTGGAACAATCCCCTCCATAAATTCTTCATCTCCTTGAGTTTGTCAGTGCCCTGCATTCAGGGGTTTGGGGACTGCCAGACTCTTACTCATAGGAGGGAGAAAGGGATATAAATCAATTCTACTACAACAGCAGCTAAACCAAATGGTACAGCTCCTGCTGAATGCCCCTTCATTTCATCGATCCATTATTCCTTTATATGGCACACTAAGGACTGCCACCTGCTTTATGAAATTAACAGAGGAAGAAAACACACACACCAGAGCAGCTCACTTTGACACTGAGACAGACACTGGTTTAGGACATGCAGGAGCTGTTTAATAACACAGAGAATTGCTTTCTCTGCTGAAGCCACAAAGGCAGTGGGCAGGGGGATGGTGCAGGGAATTAGCCAGTGGGGATAACTCATTTGTTCTTGCAAAAAGAACTGGGGAATAACTGTGTCCAGCTTCTGCTTCATTTATATTACTTGAAAGATTTTCATTTTCACAGAGACCTTCAGAGCTCTCATTTCTCTCCAAGAAGTGTGACAGGATCTCCCTGCCTTCTTCCAGACACACATGCATTTGATCTCCCAGTTTTCTCTCTGCAGTCTGTACTGGTGGAGATTTGCTGGAAGTTGTAGGGTCTTCATAGTTGTCTATGGCTAAAGCACCAAATCAAAGATGGATTAGGAAAAGCTTTGTTTAAACATTACTTGCGCTGAAATTGATCCTGTTTTTTTTTTTTTAAGGCCAGACTGCAGTTGTCATTACCCAGACAGAAGTGGTCCATGCTCTGCCAGGTACTGACATCACCCTGGTGTGCGTGTTCCCAAAATTGCACAGTACCCACATCATACAGACACAGTGGTCCAAGACTGACAGCAGCCCCTCTACCAAAATACCTGTATATCACCCCACCTATGGCTCCCATTACTTCAAGTTTTCTGAGGCTCCTTACAACTTTTCGGTGTCCTTCAGCACAAGGATGTGCTGCAGTGGGGACGACATAGGGTCTTTGTGTTCCACCAATCCAAATGCCATGTCTGAATGCAATTGGTGGGTGCTGCACCTGGAAAATATTACTGTGTCCCTTACTGGGCAGTACAAATGCGCTTTTGCTACTTACCCATATGGGACAAAGGCCGCAAAAATTTAACTTACTGTCAAGGCAGAAGGTAAGTGATTGCAAATGAGATTTTGCTGTTTCCTAATGAGGTGGGGGAGAATATCAGGATAGATGAACACTTCTTGGTTGGTGATGGTGACTTGTTTGGGATTCACAGTAGTGCCACTGAATGTTGCTTTTACCAGGCACTCTTTAGTTCTTTTATCCAACTCATTATTAGGAAACCTTAATTGTTTGGTAGAATAAAAAGTTTGATAGTAAAGTAAAAAAAGGTGGTCAGGTGGGCAGTTTCTGCATTTTCATTTTGGAGAAATATTGTGGAGGAGACTGGATGAGCAGCTCAGGATATGGTGGGACTAAGGATGTTGGATCTTCAAATCATGTGCTGCTGCTGCTGTGGGTGTGCAGCACTGGGCACCAGAAAGAGAAAACACCCTTGTCTGATTGAGGCTGAGGGCTGGCATCGGCAGAACATGCTGACTGTTCGCTCCATGGAAGGATGAGTGCCCCCACTGACACCTTGAGAAGGCTGACCTAGAACAGAGGATAGACAGAGTTAAAGAATAAAGTAGGTATTTATTAAAAGGCCTCAACAAGGTGCCAAGATATTCCTTGGGCAGTATAAGACCCAAACAGGGCTACAGCCAAGATGAACCCAAAATGGTCACAAAATGGACGACCAGTCACGAGGTCTCACATTTTTATAAGTTTTGGTCCATTTGCATATTCAAGTTAATTGTCCAATTATAGTTTTAGGTTATGAAGTCCCATCCTTCTTGTTTTTCTCTCTTCAGCCCGCATTGTTTATGCTCTTGGGCCTGAAACTAATATTGATTGTCCTTGGTCCCAGGCTAGAAAAGGAATTGTTTTGTCTACCTACTCTGTGAAGAGAGTTTACCAAGCCTTAATATGAAGTTCAGAACTACACACTAAAGCAGCACAGAATCTGAAAAATATAAAAGTTAAAACTTAAGGCATCACCACCACCAAAAAGACACTGGAGCAAAGTGGGGAATTGCATAGGAGAATCACAGGAATGGGGATTTGGCTGCTTCTGTCAGGCAAAAGGAAGCTGGGAAGCAGTATGACTGCTCTCGGTAAGTAAGCCTCTGGAGAGAGCCTGAACTCCAAGAAGGATATTTAAATTATCCTGGTAAAGTAACAAATTTATTTAAATCAGATGAGAATGGATTTGACAACAAATTAAAAAACAGTGGCAACTGTCAGTGTAGCAACTTTGGGAACAGCTATTTAGTGTCAGCAGTGAGGGCAAAAGCCCAAACTGCTGTGAAAATGGAACCTGGCATGAGTGTTGAGCAAGTCTGTTGTTGTGCACATGGGGAACTGGATTTGATGACCTCAGAATCCTCTTTCTGACCCAGGTTTCTGCTAACAACTCAAGAAGGATTAAAGTAAACAGCAAATCTGGCACTGCTTCAGTTCAGATCTGCAAGGCCAATGCCCTCACTCTGCATGGGCCCAAGGCTGTAGACACAGCAGACATTCAAGAGTTAGGATCAGGGTGGGTGCAGGTCATTTTAGGGGCATTTCAGTGTGCTCCCACTCTCCTTTTACCTACATCACAAGGCCAGACTGGTAGTCCCCACGCTGGACCGTGTTACTCCTGTAGCAAGAGGAGGTCCTGTGTAAGACTCATACTCAGGGACATTTAACACTGATGGCACCTGCATGGCAGTGACTCCAAGAATTTTGGTGCTGTTATCCTGGAGACATATCTGGAGCAACCCTGTGGCACCTGCCTGCCCTGATGAACACGCAGAGGCAAAGAGCCAGTACCTCTGCCCAGCTCACAGAGGATGGGTGTGTTTAAACAGTACATGCTGAATAATTGTGCCAAAGCTGAAGCTGCCACTCTGCCTGCTGTATGGGGGTGTGTTGTGGTAGGCTACCCTTTTGGAATTTCCTTGTGCTCCACAGGACAGAGGGATCAAAGGGAGTGCAGGGAGGGACAAACCGTGCTGGTAGCCCTGTGAAACCCTCCCATGCTGCTTCTGTTCTTCATGCAAAGTTTCTGTCTTTCTAGTACAGCAATTGAGCTAATCAGGCATCGCTTTTCTTCTCCTGCCCTTGGCTGATACAGACAGGTTCAATACTGTTATTGCTGTCTACAGTTTGGGCAGCCCTTGTTCATATCAGCATCACCATGGCTTTTTTCAGTAACTACAAGATGTAGCAAGCTGTACTACTGATGATTGCTTGCTAGAAAGAACTAAAAAATTGAGTTTGCCACCTTTTGCAGGTTTGTGTTTTAAGGTTAGCAGATCTTTTGCAATAAACCACTTTGACTCAAAAGAAGGCAAAAAACCTTAATCTAGCCTATGAGCAAATGGGATGGATAAAGGTGACAGTGTAGATGAAGTACAGTTTTCATTTACATCAAAGAGAAGTGAATCCAGATGCACTCAACTTGTAAAAAGCTCGCAGAGCAGCAGGCCTTATAGGACAGACAGACACAGAGGACTTTAGCCAACAGGCTATTAATGGAGATGGGAGTCAGAGATAGGAGGGGGAAGCAAGTAGCTGGGACATGTGACTGTGAGAGTAGGCAGAAGCTGTTTCCAGACTGAACTCTGGGATTGATAGTGGGGCCCTGGAAAATGTTAAAGACAGACTCTGAAAATGTTAGGCTTTGTGTTTTGCCAGATGATTGCACCTGCGTAAGCAGTATGATAAATTATAAAATTGTTAGATGTGATGATTGTTTAGTAATTAAATATAATTATTGTATAATCATAAGAAGAATCATGAGAAACTATGTTAGAAATTTAAAAGTGGGCCTCGAGGAGCCATGCTTGGCTGAAATCTATGTATACAATAGAGCAATGTAAGTTTAATAATTAACATGAAAGTTATATAACAATAGAATATAAAAATATGTTCATCCTGAATGCATATTGGAGTCAGATTTAGGTTGAATGCCCCTGACACCCAGAGCTCTTCAATAAAAAGCACCTACATATAATTGCTCTTGTGATTATGTGTTTCTGAATGCTAACATTTTGGCGACCCAGATGGGACCCTGTGAGTGCTGCTGAGAGAGTTCGCGAGTTGATCATGCTCCAAGCTGGCACCGAGGGATTCTTGGGGGGCTCATCGACCGCGACCCACCTCTGCTGCTCACAATGTCCCCGGGAGAGAGGTAAGGTGCTTTTACTTTGGTTTGGTTGCCTGCCAATAAGATGCAGCAAAAGCTACGCTTGGTTGGGCTTAGGAATTCCTGGTGGTATCGCCTAGGCACCGTTCCATAAGCATTACAGGTATGGCATTTGTGGTGTATTTGGATGGAGAAACTTAAAGGAATTTTGGGCAGCAATGCCTCTATTCTGCAAACTTCTCCTTTGGGGTGCTTATTAGCACATTGGAAACAGGGTAATTTTGGGGAAGAATTATGTAAAGCTAAGTTGATTGATTATTGTAATACATGGTGGCCAGAATACGTCTTGGAGAATGGCGAAAAATGGCCAAAATACAAGACTCTGCAATATAACATTATTTCGCAGTTAATGTTGTTTTGTAAACAAGAAGGAAAATGGGATGAGGTGCCGTATGTTGATTTGCTTTTCTATTTATGGGGAAAGCCAGAATGGCAGGATGAATGTGGATTAATGGTGGTTAGAGCATCTGCAAGTGGTAAGTGTGGGGTTTGTGAGAAACGTTGTCTAGAACACTTAGCGTTGAAAGAAAGTCTGAGTAGGGAAAATTATACAGATATTGATTTACAGGTAGCTCCAATAAGACCAAGAGGACCTAGCCCTATCTCACCTACTTCACCTGTCCCTATCCCACCGTCTGCCCCTACCTCACCTAATCCTGAACTTGTCTCGTCTAATACACCCTTCTCTCTTTATCCTCCTCTCCCACCGTCACCTGATCCCTCTTCCTTGGAAGATGAGCAAAACCTAACTGTGATAGAAAGGAGGGGGAGGGATGCAAGTGAAAAAGATAGCAATAGTAATGAATCAGCAACACCTGTATCCCACAGAACTCGAAGTTGGTCAAAGCTTGCCCGGGTCATGGGCAGACAAAAGCGAACTGTGATTGCCCCCTTGTGACAGGGTGTAGGAGTGGAAGGCCCGGTGTTTGTAAAAGTGCCTTTTTCTCCTGCAGATTTAGTTATTTGGAAACAATCAGCCGGAACTTATAGAGAAAATCCTGATAAGGTGGCACGAGTAGTAAAAATGGTTATAAAAACTCAGAATCCTGACTGGGATGACATACAAGTAATTTTAGATACTTTGATGGATTCTACTGAGAAAGAGATGGTACTTAAGGCAGCCAAAGAAAGGGCAAGGGAGGATATCAGAAACAGGCTCATAACAAGAACTGTAGATGAAAATTTCCCAATTGAGGATCCAAAATGGGACCCTAATTTATCTTGGGATATGAGGAGACTACGGAAATATCAGGAGTGGATCCAAATAGGAGTTCAGAATGCTGTGCCCAAAACTGTGAATTGGTCTAAATTAAAGAAGGTCCGACAGGAAAAGAAAGAATCTCCCACTGCGTTTTTGGAGAGGTTTAATGAGCTTGCAAGGAAATATACAGATCTCCAAATAGACACAGAACAAGCAAAGGTTCAGCTTGCTCTCATATTCTTGGGCCAGTCACAGGACAATATCAGGAGGAAATTGCAAAAATTAGAAGGGGAGGAATTAAGGAATTTGGATAAACTACTTGAGGTAGCCTGGAAGGTATGTAATAATCGCGAAAGAGAAGCTAGTAAAAGGCAGCAGCAAAATCTTTTGGCAGTAATACAAGGAAAAGGGAACCCAAATTTCAGGGGACGTGGCAGGGGTAGCCATGGTAGAAGACCAGTTATGCAAGGGTTAAGCCTAAATCAATGTGTGTATTGCAAACAGGAGGGACATTGGAAAAGGGAATGCCCAAACAACAACCGGTTTCACCAGGGCAATCAGTTCCAGCAGGAAAACGTTGCCAAGGCGATGGTCTTAGGCGAATATAACAGCTGACAGCACATGAAACCTGTAAAACAGGTTCAAGAACCTGTCATAAATATACAGTTAGGGC